GCAAAAAACAAAACACGAAAAACCTCAATAAATTTTATAACTGAGCTCTAATAAACGGACGATGACGAGGCTTGTATTGGTGGGGAACACGTATCTAAGCACCACCGCGAAAAAAAAAAAAAAAATTTCCAATCGGGCATTGTGGCGTGGGAGCCAGTTTTTCGCGCAGTGCAGCTGTTCCTTTATTTTTATTGTTTTCGCCTGGCAGCAGTTGCTACACTGCGAAGTTTGAAATGCTTGGATGATAGCTGCTCCGGTTTCTATTTCCGTGCTCGCTCGATTGGTTGATCCAGAGCCTTTTATACTGGGTTGATCACCTACACAAGTGGAAATATTTGTACTGTATTTTTTTTTTCAGGTTATTGATACACTGAGTGAGAAGTTGTTTGATGGTGGGCGAGAGATGTGAACTAATTGTGCAGTCCAAAAAATTGAATATATGTAAAATTCTTTAACCCAGTCCCTGCTGCTTTGCGCCGTAGTGCCTTTTGGCTTGCTCGCTCCAATTTTGAGTCACAATACCCGTGCACAAACTAACAAACCTACGAAAAGAAAAAGAAATTTGTGAAAAGAAAGCAGGAATATCTGATAAGGAAATTAATTTCCCTTCGCAATTTACAAGCATTGCTTTTTCATGCAAATATAACAACTTTATTAGCGTTCGAGAGTTATTTCTGTTCCTCGCTTTCATCTCCGTTAATGCGAGGTCATGTACCCAGTGCGTTGTCTTTGTTTGTCTTGAGCCTTTCAGCTAGCAGACTGCTAGAAGAAAAGCAGTATTGATACGACAACCAATAACCTAAAAATAGACGTCAAACTGTCTATCAATCAGGGATTGTTTTACGTATTCCGAATTACTTTCACAAGACCTCACTGCCATCACTTTTCAAATGTGTACACTCAAAAGCGCTAAAGAGCCCCGTCATCTGCAGTTTAAAAGCGCGCAGAAAAGTGAGCGCGAGTTCATCAAGTGACCTGCGCCATAAGCGCGCCCAGAGAGCGACGACGCGCGACCGAGCGCAGACCCGTCAAAAGCAAGCGAAACACGGCGGCGGGCCGCAAGAGCCGTCACGACAGCACGCCGGCGTCGCTAGTGCGACCGTGCGCCCGTTTCACCGCGTAGCGCAAAGGCGCACAACCGTCACGAGCGCACTGCGCCGCTCGTAGCGCCATCTGTACTCTGACAAAGCAACTCAAAGAGGTGTCCGCGTCCTTGGTGCGCCCGTCTGCCCTGTCTTCCCCACTCCACGCGACAGCGCGCTCCTAGCGCCATCTGTACTCCGACAAAGCAACTGAAATAGGAGCCCGCAGCGCCCGTGCCTGCTTCCCGGCGCGCGCCCCTCCGCGCACCTCGCCATTGGCGCTCCGCAATAGCCCCTCCCCCTCCCCTCTCCCAGGCTCCTCCCCTCTTCTTAGGCCACGCCAGCGGCAGACCAGCGACATCTTTACCCCCGCGTCTCCGTGCGTATAAGGCGGACACCCTAACCCCTATGCCATGGCACCGCTTAGGAAACTCGTTGTGTCCACTCTTTTTATACGAGAAAAGCGGAGTGCGTATAGCCATTTCCGTCCGAAGCGCACTCCGGAGTGCGTATAGCTTTACTCTAAATCGACCAGCCACCCAGAGCGCCCGAAAACTAGTTTGGCTGGTTAGATCGAAATATGAAGAAGAATAATTCCGTTTAAAATCAAATAATTTTTACACCTATTGCACAATTTCATTACCTTTCGGAAAATATATACTTCGATGTGCGTAAGAGTATTTCTCGTTGCGATAGCGAGTGAAGCAGGTGAAGGGGGAGAGTCCGAAGCGCGCTCGAGCCGCGATTCGATCGTCTAAGATCAGGCAAAAATTAAAAATAAAAGTGAACTCCTACCTTTAGAACAGTCTCTTTTTCTGTGCTCTTAGCGCACACGTTTGCCTCACGGCACACGAAATTAAGAATCTCTATCTACTTTTATTATTACCTAAAGAAAAGAGCAGTGTGTTTAACCCTCCTGGAAAAGCGAACGCCGGCATCGCGCGTGACGGGCGGCGTGCTTTCAAGTTTTAATTAAACGCGTACAGAAGCTTATTTAATCGCAAACTAAGGCGCTAATTGTTCGCTACCTATCGTCCGAGGCAGGCACTTCTAGCACGAATTGTCGATTTTTTGTTATTTTTTGAAGGAGCAGGGGAGCCTCGCGGAAGCCGAAATTCATGCATGGGGCGTGTGGGAAAGCGCGACTTTGAGTATTAATTAGGCGCGTAGAGAAGCTTATTTAATAGCAAACTAAGGCGCTAATTGTTCGCTACCTATCGTCCGAAGCAGGGACTTGTAGCACGAATTGTTGATTTTTGGCGATTTTTTGAAGGAGCAGGGGAGCCTCGTGGAAATCGAAATTGATGCATTGGCCGTGTGGGAAAGCGCGACTTTGTGTATTAATTAGGCGCGTAGAGAAGCTTATTTAATAGCAAACTAAGGCGCTAATTGTTCGCTACCTATCGTCCGAAGCAGGGACTTGTAGCACGAATTGTTGATTTTTGGCGATTTTTTGAAGGAGCAGGGGAGCCTCGTGGAAATCGAAATTGATGCATTGGCCGTGTGGGAAAGCGCGACTTTGTGTATTAATTAGGCGCGTAGAGAAGCTTATTTAATAGCAAACTAAGGCGCTAATTGTTCGCTACCTATCGTCCGAAGCAGGGACTTGTAGCACGAATTGTTGATTTTTGGCGATTTTTTGAAGGAGCAGGGGAGCCTCGTGGAAATCGAAATTGATGCATTGGCCGTGTGGGAAAGCGCGACTTTGTGTATTAATTAGGCGCGTAGAGAAGCTTATTTAATAGCAAACTAAGGCGCTAATTGTTCGCTACCTATCGTCCGAAGCAGGGACTTGTAGCACGAATTGTTGATTTTTGGCGATTTTTTGAAGGAGCAGGGGAGCCTCGTGGAAATCGAAATTGATGCATTGGCCGTGTGGGAAAGCGCGACTTTGTGTATTAATTAGGCGCGTAGAGAAGCTTATTTAATAGCAAACTAAGGCGCTAATTGTTCGCTACCTATCGTCCGAAGCAGGGACTTGTAGCACGAATTGTTGATTTTTGGCGATTTTTTGAAGGAGCAGGGGAGCCTCGTGGAAATCGAAATTGATGCATTGGCCGTGTGGGAAAGCGCGACTTTGTGTATTAATTAGGCGCGTAGAGAAGCTTATTTAATAGCAAACTAAGGCGCTAATTGTTCGCTACCTATCGTCCGAAGCAGGGACTTGTAGCACGAATTGTTGATTTTTGGCGATTTTTTGAAGGAGCAGGGGAGCCTCGTGGAAATCGAAATTGATGCATTGGCCGTGTGGGAAAGCGCGACTTTGTGTATTAATTAGGCGCGTAGAGAAGCTTATTTAATAGCAAACTAAGGCGCTAATTGTTCGCTACCTATCGTCCGAAGCAGGGACTTGTAGCACGAATTGTTGATTTTTGGCGATTTTTTGAAGGAGCAGGGGAGCCTCGTGGAAATCGAAATTGATGCATTGGCCGTGTGGGAAAGCGCGACTTTGTGTATTAATTAGGCGCGTAGAGAAGCTTATTTAATAGCAAACTAAGGCGCTAATTGTTCGCTACCTATCGTCCGAAGCAGGGACTTGTAGCACGAATTGTTGATTTTTGGCGATTTTTTGAAGGAGCAGGGGAGCCTCGTGGAAATCGAAATTGATGCATTGGCCGTGTGGGAAAGCGCGACTTTGTGTATTAATTAGGCGCGTAGAGAAGCTTATTTAATAGCAAACTAAGGCGCTAATTGTTCGCTACCTATCGTCCGAAGTAGGGACTTGTAGCACGAATTGGTGATTTTTTGTTATTTTTTGAAGGAGCAGGGAAGCCTCGCGGAAGCCGAAATTCATGCATTGGCCGTGTGGGAAAGCGCGACTTTGAGTATTAATTGGGCGCGTAGAGAAGCTTATTTAATAGCAAACTAAGGCGCTAATTGTTCGCTACCTATCGTCCGAAGCAGGGACTTGTAGCACGAATTGTTGATTTTTGGCGATTTTTTGAAGGAGCAGGGGAGCCTCGTGGAAATCGGAATTGATGCATTGGCCGTGTGGGAAAGCGCGACTTTGTGTATTAATTAAGCGCGTAGAGAAGCTTATTTAATAGCAAACTAAGGCGCTAATTGTTCGCTACCTATCGTCCGAAGTAGGGACTTGTAGCACGAATTGGTGATTTTTTGTTATTTTTTGAAGGAGCAGGGAAGCCTCGCGGAAGCCGAAATTCATGCATGGGGCGTGTGGGAAAGCGCGACTTTGTGTATTAATTAGGCGCGTAGAGAAGCTTATTTAATAGCAAACTAAGGCGCTAATTGTTCGCTACCTATCGTCCGAAGCAGGGACTTGTAGCACGAATTGGTGATTTTTTGTTATTTTTTGAAGGAGCAGGGAAGCCTCGCGGAAGCCGAAATTCATGCATTGGCCGTGTGGGAAAGCGCGACTTTGAGTATTAATTGGGCGCGTAGAGAAGCTTATTTAATAGCAAACTAAGGCGCTAATTGTTCGCTACCTATCGTCCGAAGCAGGGACTTGTAGCACGAATTGTTGATTTTTGGCGATTTTTTGAAGGAGCAGGGGAGCCTCGTGGAAATCGGAATTGATGCATTGGCCGTGTGGGAAAGCGCGACTTTGTGTATTAATTAAGCGCGTACAGAAGCTTATTTAATCGCAAACTAAGGCGCTAATTGTTCTTTTTGTCCAGGCTTTGCTAGTGGCGTGAGCTTTCCCCGAACCTCTGCCGTCTGCTACAGCTCCTTTGTCTCCTGGGCGACCGTTGGAGCCGACTTCTTGCACGAATTCTTTTGTTCTTTTCACGCGAAACACGGAATTCGGCGGCGCCGAGCTAGGAAGCCGGCCTCTACGAACTCAAACGTTTCATCACTCTCTGACGCACGGAAGAAAAGAAAAAAATATATGTGTGTGGTGTAAGAACGTTCGGTGCATCTTTAATGTAGGGCGCTAAAGATTGTCTTTTTGTGCAGCGCAAGAGCGAGTTGCACGGCTGGCCCTCCGTTTCAAGTGACCTCCTTCAGCTGCGGATGACCTGTGCTTAATCAAGACCGCTTGAATGGCAACTGAGAACTTGCTCCAAGCAAAAAGTGTTTTTATGAAATCGTGTTAGCTCGTGCGAATTCACTGAATAGGAACAAGTGTGTTTTCATCGAGACAGCTCTCGTCTGCAAACTTGCATTGTCGGCCTAATAAAGTGTGAGGTTATTAAAATGTGAGGTAAAAAAGGAAAAATCTGTTGTTTTGCTGGTGAGGACAAAGCCCCTGCTGTGCACACCTGCGGAAACGAAGTAAGTCCCTTATCAGTTTGTTCAGAGATTTGATTTTTTCCCGTGGTAATCGTGAAAAATAAAAAATAAAAAAGCGCGAGGACATAAATTCTTCTTTCTTATGTTTGAGCTTATTGCAAGACGCTATGAGCGGCGTTATGTTATATCTATACATAGCCTTTGAACTTGTGTTTTTTCTTCTTTCTTTTTGTGATCTCCAGTGTACCAGATTTGTCGGTTTACTGTTATTTTTTTGTTCCTTCTCGTCGCACCCTGCTTGGGGATTGGAAATGGCCTGCAGTGTAAATGAATAAAAACCAAATATAAAACAAAAGAATTTAAATACTTCCCGACGCCATAGGGTCTTGATCTGCTTACAAATGCATTTAAATACTCTTTTCCCAGAACCATAACAGAATGAAACAGCCTACCTCATCGCAGATTTGTATCTGACAATGTTTTGCAGTCGATGGAGCGTTTGTTTGATGTGTAACCCTTTGCATGGTGTTTTAATTTTCCTCTTGCCCACTACTCCCACTCCTCCCAACTTTGTTGTGAGCTATTACATTACAATTTTCCCCTGTTCCGCTCTCCCATTTTACGGATTACCTGGTGTTGCGTTTTTAATATAATATAACAATCTGAGGTTAAACGGACAAAGAGGCCCCTGCTGTGCACACCTGCGGAAACGAAGTAAGTACCTTATCAGTGTTATTCAGAAATTTGATTGTTTCCAATGGTAATCGTGAAAAAAAAAATGTTTTTTTATGTGTGTGCTCGCCCAAAAGCGAGCACATGCATTCTTTTAATGTTCTGTGTTGCGCTTATTGCAAGACGCTGTCATCGGCGTTGTATTATCTATACAGCCTTTGAACTTGCGTTTTCTCTTCTTTTTTTGTATCTCTGTACTTTGTATTCAAGTATATCAATCCACAAGTGCTAGCTGGGTCATTTATTTTAACCAGGCGAGTGGGATGTTCCGAGGAACATTATAGGCGCGTCTCATCGATGTAGCTAATCTAATAAAGTGTTGATTAAAAAGTTTACGTGTAAGGCTTCATTCTGTGGTGGTGTGATTTGGCATATCCTCGTATAAAGAAAACTACGATAGTTGGAAGGTTCTAATTCGCAGCGAATGATCGCGCTCTGAATTTAGACGCACTGTTAAATTTTCATCGCTCCAGCTCGTCTAGAACTCGTTATACTCGCGAAAACAGGTTTTTGGGACTCTGCTTGGAGATTAAAAACCCCGACCAAGTTCAATCGTTCACCCGTGAATATTCAAGACCGCTGGAGTGCATTCATCGATCGTGGTCGTGAAAACAACATCGTAGGAAAATGTGTGTGCAGTGAAACCGTGTCAGCTCATCTCAATCGAGACTTTTCGATCAACAGGGACGGTCTCCCGAGCACGAGTGGATTGATATTCTTCAAAGAGCTGCCGCCCCCGCTCGTAATTAGAAAACAATTATAGGTACAACTATCAAATTGTTGGGGAAGGGTCTCGCACCAGGTAGGACTGTTTGTGTGTCAAATTTCTTCGAGATAGCAAACGCAAAAGTTGTTTTATCGACCTATTAAAACCGCTCGGAGAACTCGGCTGATTTCTGGTGTTTTTTCTGTTTTTTTTTTTTTTTTGTTTTTTTTTTGCGTGTTTTTTTTGTAGTGTTAATTCTAAAAGAGAGATGCCGTAAATATCGCCTAATACCTCAACAAAAAAAAAGTCCGAAGAAAAAAAAAAAAAACAAATTCTCTCGGGGGATTGAACTGCTGTGTACGAAGCGCACATCTTACCCACTGAGCTACTCCACAGCTCGGAATAGGCGTGTTTACAATCCGTTTTATACGAGACCCAATAGGCGACTACTGCCGGCACTTTTTCTCCCCCCGGCTATTCTGCCGGCTGCCGGCAGAATAGACACTTCCTTCATTAATACTGGTCGTATCTCATCACCGCTAGCACCGATGTGTTCCTTGTTCTTTCTAGACTCTATGGACACCACTTTGAACGTGTGAAATAAAAGCTTTCGCGAAGCTACGACGCTTTTACCGTGGGCATGGTCATGGCGGCCAATTCTGATTTCCGAACCCGTGTTCGGACCTCCGAGGCTGAATTTTCGTTTCCGAGCCGCGATGTTGGTGTCAAACGTGAGCACGCGTTCCGTAGAAGACCCGACGACTGTAGTTTACCTCGGATCGAGTCGATAGATTACTGTACGAGCACTGATGCGACTTCCCGCACGAAAGCAGTCATTTTCAGGTTCGATATTGCTCACCGCTTCATCATTTGCTACCACAATTTGCTTTTTTGTTCTGAAGCGCTCCCTCGGGTAAAAGGAACGTTCGCTATGCGCGCGAGATTATTTTAATTCATTCATCTCGTGCGGCGCGCGCTCGGCGGAGCGGCTAGTCGTTTGAAGGCTCACCAGAGCGCGAGCAAGACTTCAAAGAGCTGCCGCTCGCTCGTAATTAGAAAACCATTATAGGTACGTACAACTATCAAATTGTTGGGGAAGGGACAAATACACATATGTGCTGCAAGAGGGCCTCCACACAACCCTACAGAGCTTTTTTCAGACATGCCCCTACAGTACAACTGGCCCGACACTTTCTATTTTGTCCCCTTCTGCACTTTCTGGCGCAAGATGAGCTAAAGTGAAGCACGAGTAACCTTCTAGGTTGCTATCTGTTCAGTTTGAACCCTCAAGCTACGTCCCTTTTCCCTTGACGGCCAAAATTTGAACGCAGGCATGGTTACTGCGGAATACAAAAAGTCTGCCTTTTGTCTCCGAGGGACGTTCATTCTGTGTTATGGTCGTCTTTTCCAGAGACGGTGAGGACAAATACACATCTGTGCTGCAAGAGGGCCTCCACACAACCCTACGGAGCTTTTTGTAGACATGCCCCTACAGTACAACTGGCCCCACACTTTCTATTTTGTCCCCTTCTGCACTTTCTGGCGCAAGATGAGCTAAACTGAAGCACGAGTAACCTTCTAGCTTGCTACCTGTTCAGTTTGAACCCTCAAGCTACGTCCCTTTTCCCTTGACGGCCAAAATTTGAACGCAGGCGTTGTTTCTGTCTGAAAGCAAAAGTCTGCCATTTGTCTCCGAGGGACGTCCATTCTGTGTTACGGTGGTCACTTTGCACAGCCAGGTTAACGCTGTCTGCAGTCGTGCTGGGACGTCCTTGCTGCGGCTTGGCCGACACATTTGTTTTCTCGGCTTCCGTACTTTCCCACGTCGGCTTGTTTCAAGTCCAGCTACAGCATTCTTGTCGAATGGTACCTGTGAATTCTGAAGGCTTGATGTCGACCTGTATTCTCTGCACAGCCCCCTACGGGGTTCTGCAGAAAGCCCTGTCTTAGTAAATCACGTAGGTTTTCAATGAAGTGTGTCTCCACATCTTACGGGGGTGGGCAAGCAACACCGAGGACACAGTCTTCTTGTCTGCAGTGCCTCTTTATTCTCAGACACTACAAAACCCCACGCCCTTGTTGAAAGGCTCGAAAAATCAGGACTACCTTCAGCTTTTGCGTTCGTACATAAACTTTGACACCAGCTGTGTTAACCAACCTGGGCTCGTTCATTACAGGAGGAAAGCAAGCACTCGTATCAAAAATGAATCGTCGCTCTAGCACTCTTCGTCCCATCGTCCCATCTCCATGAATCGTCCCATCTCCATGACTTGCACGGCCTGTAAATTACTAGAACATATCATAACCAAACAACTCGTTTCTTTCTTAGAAATGCATAATGTTCTAAACCCCAACCAACATGGTTTCCGCAGTGGCCTGTCAACGGTAACCCAGTTGATTGAATTTTACCATGAATTAGCCACTTACGTTAACAACCGTACGCAGGTTGATGCAGTTTTCATCGACCTGTCGAAGGCATTCGACCGGGTACCTCACCGCAGACTGATTAAGACATTAATAGATCTCGGAGTTCCCTTTTCTTTGACTAAGTGGATCAATGCATATCTTTCAAACCGTCAGCAATTTGTGGATATAAATGGTACTTACTCAGGGCTGTTAGATGTTCATTCTGGGGTGCCCCAAGGTTCTGTCTTAGGGCCCCTACTTTTTTTTAACTTACGTTAACAGTTTGTTCCCATCCAATGAAGATGTCCCAATTAAGCTAAGAATGTTTGCCGACGACTGCGTCATTTACAGTCCCGTTGTTGAAATACAAGACCAGACAAAAGTGAGTAAAGCACTGGCTAACATTGCGTCTTGGTGTCGTGAAAATAACATGAAGATTAATATTAGCGAAACTCAGTACATGCACATAACAACAAAAAGAACTGTCTTAAACTTTAGCTATGAGGTTGCTGGCGTAGTATTGACTGAAGTGGATAGTTACAAATATTTAGGAGTGATTTTGTCTTCTGACCTCGGGTGGAAAAGGCATGTGGAGTATGTTAAAGAGCGGGCAACTAACAAATTGTGGTACCTGAAGAGAACGCTGGGTAAAACTCCCCCTTCCGTTAAAATTCTTGCGTATAAGACAATTATTAGACCTGTGTTAGAATACGCGTCTGCAGTGTGGAGCCCATGGCAGAGCTCTCTGGTCAGAGAACTCGAAGATATTCAGTCGCTAGCTGTGCGTATAGTTTTTTCAGATTTCAGACGAACTACGTCTGTGACCGAACTTAAAAGGAGAGCCAATATAAGCCCTCTGTCAAACAGAAGAGAGAGCCAACGGTTGAAGCTGTTCTTTCAGATTTTCAAGAACTGTATAAAAATTGATGGCTCCGTTTACTTAAAACCAAAAAGTTTTTACTCGGAACGCTTGCATCACTCAAAGACCGTAGCCCCCTATTAAAGCTCGAATAAATAGCTATAAACAATCTTTTTTTGTGCATACAATTGATTTGTGGAACAGCCTTCCCGGGGATGTTGTCGATATTGATTCACTCTGTTCTTTCGAAAAAGCCGTAGATAATATTTTTCAGTGCCGAGATTGCTTTTATTGCTCTTATGGAATTATTTTACTGTCTTTACTTTTTATTACTGCTGTTACATTTACTGCTATACTGTTATTGTTATTACTAGTATTACATTTGGTTACTGTATTGT